GTTGGATTCATAGAGGCCCCGACGCCTGGCCGCCTCGTTTTCCCGACCTGACTCTCCTCGATTTCTTCTTCTGGAGCTACGTAAAAGATAGTGATTATACGATCCCACTAGAAGACGCACAAGACCTCTTTGCATGGGCACAAGTCCATAATTTTGGGAACACGTGAACTCAATAAGATTCGAATCATCATTTCGCTAAATGCAAATTAAAACGGGTAATTTATAATTGTCAACTCATACTCACACCCGATCAGTGAAGGAGTGCAATTGATACACAAATAGCATGAAACTTAATCCAAGAATGCATAGCTTTGCTGTTCAATCAATGTGGATAACTTTTCTTTAAATAGCCTATTTTAAAATTTAAATACGACAAATCCGGTTAACTGTTCCTGGTCTTATGGTATATACGGTTCTAGCACGATGTTTGATTATTAAACCATCTTTTAGCACACTTTCAAGTGTGATAAAGAGGTTCCCCGACTGAGAGTATAGGAATTGACGGATCGATTTACAATTCCGTGGAAGTGCCCAGCATCTGACCAATTACTCCTATCCAACTGCTTTTTGATGATGTTTTATCATTCAGGACTGTAATTAAATGCCATTGGGCCACTCATTTGTGTGGAGAGTACAAAAATAAAGATCCGCTTTTGACCCAACTTTAGTTCAACTCAATCAAGAGAGAAGATGCTCAACCAACGTACAGATTTGTGGAATAGCCTTCAATGGCGTGTAATTATTTATCTATGGCTTTTACATGAATACAACCAACGAAAATTCAAGAAAACACTTTAGGATGTTTCCGGTCTGGTTCTTTCTCATAAATGTAAGAAATAATAGAGATACCTACCGCTGAGGTCACTAAACTAAAATTTCTCCTTTATTGCATTTGGAAAATATCGATCAGCGTTAACTGCATTTAACATTATTTGCGTTGGACATTGACGATCATTAAATTGCACTTGATTTCACCACATCACAAAGTAAGTGAGATTTCTGGCCGTGGGCTTTCATGATCCTTTCCAAATGCCCATTCATTTTTATAGTCAACCTTCTTATGTCTTGTCTTCGAGACTGTTCAACCGTATGTTTTCTTCAAGGATATGTATAAGGGCAGTCTGTTTTTGCAGTTGTGGCCTTAACTTCATGATCATATCTAATGTTTTGCTGTGGCATGTTTTTAAATCCCAACTTATTTAGCACAATTCTTGCGTGTATGCGTTACTCTCTTTAAATTATATTCATCACTTTTCTTCGTCTACTCGTCGAGAAACTTTAATTTCACGCCTGCTTGATTAAATTACATTATTTCAAAATACATTTCAATTATATTCAAAATACATTTTCCTAGTAGAAGCTGAGATTTCCTGCCTTCATTATAACGTTTGCCTGATTCATTCCCATATCCTTTAAGTTCTTTAATAAGTCTATGATAAATACAGTATGTCAATTTGATGTGAGCCAATAGAGCCTAATTTTTCTCTTTTATCTTTAATTGAAACAAGTAAATTCACTTGGATATTTATGTATTTAAAACATGAAATTTTACTGTCGACTTTCTTTCAACATATTCTGGCTTTGTCACGGTATCCACGTTTAAGCACAGAGCCATGTCGTACTTATTAATGAGGATATCAAATATTTGATCAGAGTTTATGGCGAAGACTTCCTATATCTCTTATTTTTACCTTCTGGGATAGATGTTTTTTATTTGATCCCAACCAAATACACCACAGTGTATTTGTCCGAATTGCTCAGTATCTTGTTTCTCGTGAATGGTGAGTGGTGAATAGTAGCAGTCAGTGAGAAGTCAGCAGAGAAGTCAGTCAGTCCGCCAGTGTGTTCGAAGTGGAAGCTGTGTTGTAAAGTGTGCATTGCGGTGAACAGTGGTGCAGTGAGTGAACAGCAGTCAGCAGTCTAAAGTCTGCAGGGGAAGCTGAGCTGTGAAGTGTGCATCGCGGTAAACAGTGGTGCAGTGGGGAAACAGCAGTCAGCAGTTTGATGTCTGCAGTGGAAGCTGAGCTGTGAAGAGGGCATCGCGGTAAACAGCAGTGCAGTGGACACTGGCGTGCGCAGTGAAGAGTGGTCTGCGCAGGGAGTTGTGGTCTGCGCAGGGAATTGGGGTCAGTGCAGTGGACCGTGGACAGGGCATCGGACTGGGTGATACTGTAAAGAAGAGAACAGTGTAAATAAATAGTGTGTAAGAAGTGAACTGTGCTAAAATTAAATAATCAGAGAACGGGCAGGCTGTGTAAAGAAAAATAATTAAGTGTAAATGTATCTGTAAATAGACGAAGTAATTTTTGGTGCAGTAGAGTGTATAATTGTTCACGAATAAAACGTTTTTGTGTTAAAATATGGTGTTGGTTTTAATATATATATATATATATATATATATATATATATATATATATATATATATATATAATTATATGCTAAACATTATATTTTCTATTCAAAGTAATTAACAAAAAACGCGTGTGTGTACGGTTTTGTGCCAGCAAATAGCTCTTTTATTTTTCTCGTAAGATCAAAACACCAAAAATTGTCTTTCTTTAACATTTGTGCACAAAACTTTTTCAGGGAAAATAATGGACATTTAGATATCACGTTAATAAAATTCGTGTTAATAAGAGTACATTACCTGCAATATTTTATAAAAATTACGAAAACAGTGCTACGGTCCTGACAAAACGTTGCAGTCGTGAGTACCCCCGATTTCTTGAAACTTGAACGTAGATAGTAAAATGAATATAATTTCAGCTGAACAAAATAATATAATAATAACTAATAATAATAATAATAATAATAATATAATAATCTCTTATAAAATTAATTGTAAAAAGATCTAAAGCTGTCAAAGAATTAGGCGGATAAGTTGGCTTATCTAACACAGGCTGTATTACTAGATTCAGATGATACTAAAGTGGAAGACAGAAGATTTGTTTTTAATTCTAACAAATATTTTTTTTTTCAATAAAAGTTTAAATAGTAACAGTATCATTCTAGTTCTAATTGGAAGTTGATTTGTGTTTTATATTCAATTACAACTTAATATTGCCGATTGACAAGATATAATTGTGTATTCTATACCTCTATTATGTGTTCTATATCGATGTAAGAGGCATAGTGTCGAAATTGTTGCAATAAATGAAATGCTGATTGGACAAAGGAAGAAAGTCTAATTATATCGAAAATAAATTGAGGTATAAATTTTCATCTTATGCCATCCACCCACTGATTAGCGGAAAATAGGAGAAATTTTGAACATAAACAATGAAGGTACAGCATGTTTAAAAAAAATTAACTTGCTACATTTTGGCATTTGTCGTATACCCATGAAAACCCAGGCAGTATTGACTGTTCAGAATGGGAAGTTGGAGAGGATCGTAAAACATACAGACTTATTAAGGAAAAAAAATACCTTTGCTCCAAAAAATATGACATACAATTCGAAATTTCCAATAAATTTTAAAAAGCTGAGTTATTCAAGGAAATAATTAAATATATTCCATCAGAAAATCAAGAGTTTTATAATAACATACTTCAATGGCCCTCAAGGAATGCTACACAACATGATGATTAGTAGTGTGAGGTAGAAAATAATCAACCACAACAATTAATTTCATTTCCTAACAATCACATTTCGAAACTCACATTAAGAATTATGAGATATTTGCTACCACCAGGAATTTAATATTAATAGTTTTTTACTGTATTTTTAATTCAAAATATTTACTTGCTATAACGTCACTATGATGTATTACTTTTAATGTGATTTATGGAAATTGAAGTTAATAAATCAATAAACATTTGAGTAAAAACATAAATAAACGTGTTTATTACAATTTCTTTGTAGAATACCCAGGGAAGGATTATTCTTTTGAAAAAGGAAGATAGATTCAAAAATATATATCAAATGTGTTAAAACGATTCACCATTACATAGGGGTAATTTGTCTCTTCACATTTGTAAGGCATAACAAAGCTGTAGCAACAGAATTGGAAGCGTCAGTACGTTTTTCTTAGTTTTCTCGACACATAGGTGCATGGACTTTCTCTTTTTTTCCAATAAGCGATTCAAATATGATTATTATTTTGTAAAACATAATATATACACGACTTTGTTTATTTGTTACCTGTATAATAAATAAAAATTATTGTTTGACGAAAAGTTTTTTTTTTAGAATTATTGGATATTTTAGTCTTTTAAATTGAGATTCCAAAATATGGAGGCGGTGAAATTTTCCTCCGCCTCGACCGGCTGAGATCAAAGCTGCGTGGTTCATTATAGATACCTATCAGTTTCTCGATATGATTTATGCATATTTAGCCGGAACTATGAATTTTTGATTTCATTGTTTCTTTGTTGCGCATTATTTCGAGTACTACGTACCGTCGAACGCTTGTTGAAAATCGGTAACGCTGATCAACTAACACATGTGACTTGAAATTCCAGTCACATAGGGGCTTCCCCTACAAATGTGAACAAAAAAAGTTGCGAAAAAAGAACTTCCCTTTTCTGGGTGTAAAGGTGGCTAAAGGGTTCTTGAAATTGTAATTAAACATGGTACGAATATAAATTGTTAAATGTAGACATTGTATTCATTTATTTATAACTAAGGCTGAAGTGCCGGATGAATGCACTGGCCTAAAAAATAGGAGAAACAGAAACAGTGGTTAAAATAATATTATAGAGCGTATTTTCGAAGGTTTTACTGCATGTATACATACATATTTCGTGGAATATTAGTGCATATAAATCCGATCCCTAGACATAAAACATGTTAAAATATGCTTTCTTAATCTGTAATACGTAGGTAGAAAATTTCCATTTTAGAACGTAGGTCTACACATTTAATACAATGATTCCTTTGAAAAGCTGAGTTGTAATACTATTTTTAATTTCCATTACTAATATTAAAAAATTAAACCAAAAACATTAAGGTCATTAAGGTAACAATTATTCTCAGAGCAGGCAGGCAACAACTATCCCTTCGAATACGTATTATTGACTTCTATGACACAGATAGCAAAAACTTGCCCCATTTTGGCCACTTTCTGACTTCTTAGTCTTACGTTGCCGACATTACCATCCTGCTTCTTATCATACTAGATTATACGCACGATTTATTTTTAGATTAAAGTTTTACAGATCCTGATGCAGATACCTTCTCTCTCTGTACTGACTATCATTTCGTTCGTGGGTGTCACACATGACTGTTCAAATAAAATAGGATGTGAACGAAAACTAGATATCCCGTGTTTACTTACGTTGCAATTCACTGTACATTCTGTATGAGTACTCCGTAACAGCTGTAGGCCTAACGAGAAATCTTAATTCCGGATCGTTTCCAAGGTCAAATTAAGGAGCACAATAAACATCGTGTATAGAACAGTGCAAATGCGTTGAATGACTAGTCATTCTTCTTACAACACGATGGCAAAAGAACAGGATCCTTATTTACGTCACTTGTTCGATGGGACAGATCTCAATGTTTACGACCATAATGTTATGAATTTATCAGCTGGTGCACCAGGTCCTGATCTTTTGCAGCTGTGTGTTAATTTATTTCAGGAAGCAACTCGCCATTGCTTGGTAAAGCGTTGTCCAGAGCTGCTTTTCAGATTTAGCATCATCATGCTATAAAGTTGCATTAATATGCATTTAATTTTATGTACTTTACTACATATATTGGTTCTAGGAAAAAGAAAAAGAAAAGGCATACCTTTTCCAGTATGGAATTGCACCTGGAATGTGGGAATTTCGGGAGGAATTGGCCAAATTTCTTTCAAAACAATACGGAGAACCTGTTCTCAGGTATCAGTACCTACCTACTTAGTGTATGACAATTGAACAATGTCATACTATTTTAAATTGTAAGAATTGTAAGGTAGCTGAGAACATTTTTAACAAAAACTTTTTCTTCTTTTAGAGAACTGTTGGTTCAGACTTGTGGAGCTACACATGGGTTGCAACTTGCGATGATAGAATTCCTGTGGCCAGATTCAATAATTTTTGTAGAAGATGCTACATATATGCTTGCTTTGCAAGCTTTTCAAAAATACCCCCATATGAAGATTGTCACAGGTTGTACAAACTGTCTATTCTAATAACAATGACCATATCACAACTTTCATTATAATTATAAATGCTATATTCTTATGTTTTTTGTTATTTGAGAACTCTTCATGTTATTTTCTCAGAAAGTTTCGGAATCTTTTTTATTACATGTATAAACTTTCTCTCTACCTTTTTTTTTTTTTTTTTTTTTTTTTTTTTTTTTTTTTTTTTTTTTTTTTAATTAGAAGAAAGAGGAGTTTTTTTTTGGTTTTTATGAATCATGGACTGGGAATCATGAATATGGAAAATAATTCTATCAACTTCAATAATTAGGCATTGGATAATATGTTAAATATTAAAAGGTTCAGATAAATAATTCATTTTATATTTCTTGTAATTCATGGGTAAGAACATGTGTTTCTCATGCTCAAATCATGAAAAATTATTCATAGTAGTCCCTAATTTTTCAAAGTCGGTCAACTTTTAGTATGTACTGAAATAATTGTTTACAATCTATTCTTAAATGCAAGTGTTTCATTAGTGATTTTTATTAATCACATACCTAATGAAATGAAGAAAATTAATTGAAATATTTTCTAATGTATTATTGCATGAATTTCATTAGAATTAATTGAGGACAATAAATTTAGCTGAGTACTTTCATAGTTGTCACCCTCTTGACACACCTTGCATGTCATTTAGGTATTACATGCTCCATGTTGCTGTGATCTCCGCAATTATCATGAAACATTATTATTACTTGAGAAACCAAAGAGAGGAAGACCAATCTTGTGTTTTCTATATTCACATTATGAATGGTATAAATTCTTTACATTCTTATTTCTCACTTATAAAAGCCTGGCACAGCCAAAGAAGTAAATTATAGTCCTCTAAGAAAAAAGAGAAAAAACAACTTTTAAGTGAATTTACTATAAATGTATTACTTTTTATATCTACTAAAATGTTCCAACATAGACTGAGGATAACTTTGAAACCTTGCCACACTATATTATTTTTAAAATTTACTTCTTTGTTTCAATTGTCTCTATTTCTGTCAACAAAGAAAAATCGAAAGATTTTCATAATGTAACATGTTTTGTTACAAAAAGTATTTGAGAAGTGCTAGGAGAGACATTAAAAAATATCACATATACAAGACATAAACAAGATCAAAAATAAGTTCTAATGTTGAGTTAGTTTTGACAGATCATCCAGAAAATGCTGAGGAATCTTATATTACTTGAAACAATTTTATCTGTACTGTTCCTTATAATCTGTTCACTGACCTAAATTGTGGTTGTTCACAAAACTTCAGTCATCTTGTCATTTATCAATTTCAAGATGTGATGATATACTTTTATATATTATTTTATTTATGTCAAAAAGAGAACCAACATCTTCAAGTGGAGGTTATAAGCTACAATGAAATGTTGAGAAGCATAGCAAGCAGATAGCACAATGCTGTCTCAGCATTTTCTGCATGGACCAAGCTAAACTAGTCAAATACCTGATTCAGATGGGGTCATTAAGCCAGGAATTGTTTACAATAATTTTACAGAATAGACAGTAAAATGAATTGATTTATTAAGAATGAAATCAAGTTTGGGTCATTTTAAAGTTGCTTTGTACCATATATTTTTAAAATAGAGTTTACTATTGTTGTTTTCTGAGTTGATGATCACTTTAATGGAATAAAATAGTTTTAGAGTAGAAAATATTTTGTGTTTTTTTAAAAGAATGTCATATCTGTGCATTTTTAATGTTGATTAGTAAAGCATTGTCAAGACATTTACATAAAATGAATGTGAGTTTTCGGTGATATGCTGTTGACATTTATCTAACAAACAGAATTTCTTCATGTAGTGTAAAATGGAATTTCTGCATTAAATGTCAGTCATTCATTAAACAAATTAGTTTTTAGGAAAAGTACCTGATTTATAAATGAGAGCAGTAAACTGCATTTCAAGTTACAAGAAAAGACACGTAGAAGAATCATTGGGTGGGTGAATCGTTCATTATTTTGTCTAATTTTTTTCTGTTAACAAAGGTCTCTAAATTATAGGCTCTGTTAGATATTCCCCACAACATTATGCTGCATCTTAGGCAAGGTTGTATGTACATAATTACAAGTGTATTTAAATTCACTTGTTTGGGGAACCCAAGCATTATACCTCTTTGCAGTCCCTAATTTGTTATCTTGGGATAATTAGTAAACTATAACATGTTTGTAAAGAAATGCTTTTTTGTAAAAAAAATGTTCAGCCTTCCAACATAAATATAATGATTCTATACAAACAAACAAGATTCCTCTGTTCTTGTGAAATTTAAATACATATATATAATATTTTATTAATGACTACTAAGTTCTTTATGATTAATGTTTGTATTCTTGGATTTAACAATTTTACATATGGTATGGTTTCTGCAGAATATTATAGCTTGAATCTGGGATAATATTAAATTTTAAAAATCGTGCTACAAATCAAAGTGGGACCCCGAACATGTGTTGTTGTTATTTTGCTTCTTGGGAAGTTCAGGTGTGTATGAAAATTTGACTTCTGAATGCTCATTGCATAGCATAGCCTAAACATACTTCAATTTACATTCCAGTTTCATTTCATGCAACTTTCTTTCATTTTTAAGTGAGTTTTATTTTAACTATAATTTTTGAGTGTGCTTGCATTTTAAATTTTATTTGAACTGTTGTGTGACATGATCACATGATTCATAGGTCTATGGAAAGAATTATGGATGACACATTTTTCTTGAAAATTAGCCAAGATAGGTAATGTGTAGCTTAAATTATGAATATGCAAGTTATGCGGTAAGGACACTGATACTTTTGGGTAGAAACAATTGGAAAATTTCCCATGAATAGAAACATAAAAGCATTTCAAACTTTCTGTTGCTTCTCTTGAAATTACATCATTCAAATCATTACAATTTTCAAATTACATCATTCTCATACACACATTCTGTGTTAATATCTTTGAATCTTCTCTGATCCAATGATGTATCTTCAGTGAACAATTTCAGTAATTTAATTTCAGCTATCTACCTTGATCGTGTTGACCTGTCTAAGTTCATGTTTCTTATCCACATAGGTCAAGAACACTCATTCCCTCTTATGTTTTTAGTGTAATCTGTTTCATTGTGCTTAGTAGTTGCAAAAATTTAATAATGTTGAAAAGATCAATTATAGTAATTTATCAGGAAACATAATGTTTTCAGAGGTGTAAATTACAAAGCATTTAATGATAAGTACAATTGATAATTTTCATAATATTTAATTAGTAAAAATATTTTACTATATTCTCTCTAATGTTTTGTATTTCAGTTCCTATCACTGACAGTGGTCTTGATGCCGAAGCCTTGGAAAAAATTGTTTCAGAAGAATATACTAAAAGACAATGGAATTTGACTGAAGAAAGACCATTTTGGGCCATGCTGTATACTATTCCAGTTTTTCATAATCCAACAGGAACAACAATGAAAGAAAGTAAAAGCTCTCTTCTCATATCAGTACAAAAATATATTGCACATCTTTTAACTAATTACATTTTTGAAATGATAGCAGTTTAGTTTTTCCTCTAATTATGTTTCAGGTAATTTTGGGTAATTGAGCCACACTTTTACAATATACTTAGCTTACTTTACTCTTAACATTGGTTTTTATTCCTTTGATAACAGTGCAAAAAATTGAATGCTTTATTTTCCAAAAACAACTGATCATAAACGTTGTTTCAGTTGTGTCATTTTTTCAATATATGCGCATTTTGCATGCAATATATGCTGTTTACTTTTCCATATACAAACGTTAGTTTAGGGACGTTATGTAATGCTGCGTAAAATCGATTTCGAGGTTTCACCGGAAATACACGTTTTGGGGTCCCCTGATACAGAAAATAGTTGTTTTGAAAACATCTGTCAGTCCATCCGTCGGTTTCTGTTTCTGCCTGGTGTATGTGAACAGCACTAGCGCCTAAACCACGCGTAGGAGTTTTTCCAAATTGAAGAAACACCTGTCCATTTGGCCTGAGTCGAAGCTCTGCGCTTTTGAAACTCATTCATTAATTTTTGTGAGTACTTTACATGAAGCCACTGGGACATTTTCAAAATTTGATCAAAAATTGGTTCCATTTTTTTGTTTCAATTTCTTCTAAGAATGAAGTAAAATACACTTGGTGATATAGGTCTGATTTTCACGTTTAACTCTGAATTTTCGAAAATTTGAATTTTTTCGTTTTTTTTTCTATCACTAGAAAATTAAAGATAGAGAGTTTCCCTTGAAATTTGTTGACCACAATTTGTTCTTTCATTAAGGTCATGTACATTTTTTGAAACTTTTAGTAGTTTTCGCGCAATATTGCGTGCAATTTTTGCATTTGATTGAATTTAATTTATTGATTGCAATTGAATTTAAAAAATTACAAAAGATTTTCTCAGAAAGAGCTCCAATTTTTTCTTAAACTTTTGGTAGGGATTTTGCTAAAGCCATTCTATAACATGACATAAACGCCATATTCCGCTATTCTTTTGATTTAAAAAAAAATACAAAAATGAATTTTTTTTAGTTATCTCTCACGTCATTACTCTTTATATTAACAGCAATTTGTCCACATTATTATATTTTTAAGTACATGTGCTTTAAATATTATCATATAAAGTTCTCAATCTTATTCTATCAACACTGGCTCAAAATGTCGCTTTTTCAGAAACGCGCAAATGCCATTTTGTCAAAAACGCCTTCAAATTTTTTCTTAAAAACGGCTCCAAATTCTTCAAAGAAAATTGCCAATTAGATTGAGTTTTTACTGTTCTTTCATATTCTTAAAATAATATTTACATCCTACTATTAAGAATCCGAAAAATTAAAACAATTAAATTATTGTACTTTAAGCGGCGATAGTATGTGCAGGCAAGAGCATGTGGCAAGTTCGAATATCTAGCCCAGACCAAAGAAAATAGATAACTATTACGAGAAAGCCTGTGCCATTCTGTAGGTAAATGGAGTATCCAGCGAAAAAAAAAAAGTGTTGAACAGATTGAAGTATTTGCACGGTAACTTTTAAATAGGGTGATCAAACTGGAGAAGCATATAGAAGAATTGATCATACAAGGAAATACAGATTTTAAGGGTTAATCGGAAGGTGGTGGTGTCTTGGTTCCTTTGTTTCCTTGACTTCCTTATACCAGCCAAATGATTTTTAAGATGAGTATTCATTTAAAATGCATTGAACAGACTCAGATGTTGTATATGTTAACGTGAGGCCCGAAGGCCCGAGCCACGCCGGATATGTCGATTTTTTTGGAGTACTTTACATTAAGACTCAACATTTTCGAAATTTTCTCCAAAGTGGTTTTGATTTTTTATGAAGCATTGTCTTTGGATAGCGAACTCTTAAAACAACTCATTTTTATTGAAGTTCCTGATTTTTCGAGATTTGCCTACGTTCGACATTTTTTAGGCGACTACAATATTGAAGATAAGAGATTTTTTTAAATAAAATCTTGTTGAAAGACAGATCGTGAACAAAATTTTGATCAAATGCAATTTTCCTAAAATGGGACTAACTTTAACTTAAGCAATTTTTAAACAAGTATTTCCTCAAAAGCGACTCCATTTTTTACTTGTGCGTAGTAAAGCGTGGTAAAAAAATGGATTTTTTCGCAGCCAGTGCTCAATGCAAAATCAAACTCTTTCTATTTTAGTAAATTGCAATATATATAAGTGGGAGCATGTGTGAGTGAGTGAGTGCGTGAGTGTGTGTGGTGCACACGCTGATGAAACACTGAGCATTGCAACTGAGCTTGCTTATTCGTGCAATGTAGATGCAGATTTCCCCCCACTTACACGCAGGTGACAAAAGAAAACTGTTTGGTTAAGAACTTGACGATGACAGTACAAATTATCTGCAAGACAATTTCTGCATACTATATGAACTGTATTTCCGTACATGACTATTATTGTCACTAGTTTTATCTATCGAGGAATGGTTTCAATTGCTCAATTGCAAAATTATGCATTTAATTTTGTATATGATTTCAACAAACTAGCCCAAATTAGTAAATCAGACATTAAAAAATTGTATGGATCCATAATTTAAACTGATACAGATAGTCCAAAAGATAAAATACAATAGAACTTGCAGATGAACTATATAATCACAAACTTTCTGAAATCAAAATTGTCAGCAATTGAAGTATTGGAATTCGTGTACCAAAATAAATTAATCAGGCCACTTGCTAATATTAATGTAATATTACAATTTTTATTATTTTTGCCTCTTACAGTAGACACCAGAGAAGATCATTTTAAAAATTAAAAATTATTGCCTAAAAACTTCCAAGTGATCAACCATGTCACAAGAAATATCAACAGATCTGTCAGTGATATCAATTGAAAGTGAAATCTACAACAATATTTATTCAGAGAATATTATAAAATAATTTGAAAGTTCGAAAAACACCCTATTTTATATTGTTAATAGATATTATTCATTACTTAATAAATTTATAGTAACACTTCAGTAAATACTATTTTAACCAACTAAATTTTTCATCAATTAAAAGAATGTAATTAAAGTATTACTGAAAGCGGCAAAATGTTTTTGCACCAGGGCGAAAAAATCAATGCGCGATGGCCCTGCATAGCTCCCTAGAGGAAGCTATGCAAATGCCCGAAATGGCTTAAGAAAATTGTTTTGCAAATTCAAGTCTGATTCTCCAATAAATTTATAAAATTGTTATACAAAAAAATAGCATACGTAACTCATTTGTTGTTTTATTGCATTTGTACAAATCTGAAAACTCGATCCTAACATCACTCCTTTTTGACAAAGTTATATTGCGGGCTATCTTTATTATTTAACCATTTTGTATGGAGAAGGTTGCTACAGTATTTACTCGATTATAAGATGACCTCCTAACTTTGAAGAGGCCTTCTGAAAATGTTTTTCTTGATCCCTTTTTTCCCAGCTTCCCAAACTACATATTTTAGGCCTCCTAATTTCAGAATTTAATCATGTCATTAAGAATATTATAGGAGAGTAAAACCTTGCCCTGTATAGAAATTTTTGTTGAAACATTTGGAACTATTTTTGAGAAAAAAGTTGTTTGAACATTTTCGAAAATGAGCATTTTGAAGCTTATTTCCACCCAAAACTGTTAAGTTTTTGAGAAACTTCATCAAAAATTATTTGAAGTAATTGTATTCACAAATACAATAATGTATACAATCACTGATACCAGTATTAATGGCTTGAGAGATATTTTTAAAAAAAGTGTATTTTTTAAAAAAAGAAAAGAATACATCAATGGGACATTGATGTCATATTGTTTAGTCCATTTAATAATATCAGTTTAAGAAGATCAGAGATAAAATATGGTGCCATTTTCGAGAGAATGGTGACGGAATGTTTTGAAAACGCAAAATTTTGTGCTTGTTACTTAATCAGACATCATTTGAAGCACATGTTCTCATAAATGCAATAATGAATCCATATTGCTAGTCATGTAAATAAATGTGAGAGAGATGTCAAAAATTACTTTTGAGTAATTTTTTAAAAACAAAAGTATGCGGCAAAATGGTGTTTATGTCATCAGTTATAGTATATTTAACACTATCCCCACTAATTTCTCGAAAACTCAAAAGTTTTGGGTGAAAACAAGCTTGAAAATGTGTGTTTTCAAAAATGCTTAAACATTATTTTATTTAAAACTGCTTCAAATTTTTCCAATGAAAATGGTCATATAGAACCAGATTTTATTATTTTATAATTTTCTTAAAGTCATGTTTCAATTCTTCTATTAGATACCCCAAAATCAAAGAAAAATGTGTTTTTGGCACCAGTAGTAGCAGTTGAGAAAAGGGTGGGAAAAACAAAATGGAGAGCCCTGACTGAAGAGATAAGGAAACTATTGAGAAAATGTGCCATTCTTGAGCACTAGCTTGTCACTGTTGTCTTCATCTTCACATGCATAATTTATTTTTTCTCCTATATGTATGTAAACATACACAGTACACAGAAGGTAATGTAACACTGCAGTAAATTGATTTTGAGATTTCAATGGAAAGACATTCTGTTGGCAAATGTTTCCTCTTAACATTCTCTGGTGGATGGACAAAATATGAGAACATTTATTCATTGTAACACGCCATATTGGTTTTCTTCTCTTTACTTTAATTGGAATTTTTTTGCACCAGCAACACACTTGTTATTCTGGGTGAATTTTTCTCATATATGTAGCTGTATATTGAGTAATATATACAGCAGTGGTGGGTTGTAAACAAATGTTCAGGGTAGGCAAAACAGATTACTGAACAGCGGTGGATTCTGGGAAGGGAGCATGGGGGGCATACCCCACCTTAATCCAACTTTTTAAAATTATTTTTTTCAATTTAATCAAGCTCACACTGATATGATTTTATGATATTCAGATTCTAAGAAAGTGTTGTGAGTTTGTGTTGCTCCGTCAATAATTCACAAATCAGATGCAATTTTCATTATCAGGTGTTAAAGATTACATACATATGTGACCTTTTGATATTTTAATGT